ACATTTAGAAAGCATCAAACTCACATGTAGGCTTTGTAATCAGTCCCGATTTTCTGGACCCTGATGTCATACTTGGCCTCTACAAATGGCTCTGTAGTGCAGTAGGTCTGAGTGATGGCCACTACACTCGCAATGTCCTGGAAATCACTCACGTTATCCACCTTTACCTACAGATAAATGACATGTGATGTATATTTACAAAGTACTATGATGAAAATGTGTGTGTGTGTGTGCGTGTGTGGGCGTGTGTGTGTGTCATTATACTTAGAATTTTGGTTAAAAAAATGAAATGATCCAAAAGGATCCAGTTCAATCAAGTCCATTATATTTTCTTGTCAACAAATTCTCTCTTAACAATTTAAATAATATACAGTTAAATAGAAGGGAATATTAATGCTCATTTTAAGGGAGGAAAAACAGCAGCAAAAGTTTTGAGCAAGAATAACATAAAGGATAAAGAAATATTCTTAAAAGTATCAGAAAGTACAACATATTGTGATACAATATGACCTGTGTCGTTTCCAAACCATCTGTCTTTAAACTTCTATCTTCTCTCTCTGTCTCAGTTTTGCTTTTGTAGTTGGGTATGAACATTTAAAAAACATTTGCATAACTTCTTTTTTTTTTTGCAGTAAAAAAAGAACAACAAAAAACATTACACTACCTTTCCCATTCCAGAGTGGGCGTGTCCAATCTTCACCACCACTGGGAAATTTGGTGTTGTAATCTACAAAATAAAAGAAGTAAATGATCAGTAATACTGAGAGACAGAGAACAACAACTGTTTCTTTTGTTTTGCAAATTATGAACCATTTGATTTAGGTAGCTGACAGTGAATACCTTTAAAACTAAGTCATTTTCATTTCGTGTCAAAGGCAAAACATGAAGCTTATCAGGAATGGTTACAAGGTGGGGAAATATGTGTCTAACATATGGACGGTTCCAGATAGGGGCCAGTCTCCCTGTGGTTCCTGGCCCTTTTATGGGCCCTAAACTAAAATGAGCAAGCAGCTTAATAAACAATATGTGATGCATCCCATTGGCTTCTAAGTCTCCTTAATCGGTCTTTGTCAGACACGTGACTGACACGCCCCCTAGCGCCATTTTTGTGGTGAGCGGAAGAAAAACAAAACAGCAGAAAACAAGAGGAGAGCGCTGCCAGCAGTGAGGATTATCAGTTAAATGGAAAAGAACAAGAAAACTGAACGGATACCCTACCCAGACAAACTTTCTAAAGCTGCTAGGGAACGATATTATATATTATTATTACAGTGACAAGGCAGATGTTGTGGGCAGTTGCACAGATAGCTGCAGTTATTAGAGCAGTTTGTGCTGCTCATCAGACTGAACGAAAAAACTTGTCATAATTTTTGCACATTGATAAGTTGCACACTGTATTTGCTGTTCACTTTATCCAGGCCTGTTTTCACTGGGATCTGCAGTCTTCTTCACAGATATCACCTGTTAGGTAATATCTCTACAGAAGACCACAGACCACAGTGAAAACAAGTCCTGGGAAAATGAAAATCTTCTAATTTAATCTAAAGAGCAATCTGCTATATACGAGGGAGGAAGAAAAAGTAAAACATTTGAAGCTTTGCACTGTTCTGCATTATTTATGTATTTGAGATTTTGTATTGCATTTTCATACATTCTCTGCTTGATTGAAAAGATAATAACACTTGTTTCAAATTTCAAATCCACTCTTTATTGTGCACACATTTTTACAACCTCAGAAACATTGTTAATATTTGAAGTGATGGTGAAACTTATATTTGTTTTGCTGTTATTTTTCAAAAGTAACTTAAAAAAAAGCAAAATTCTATTTGTGTGAAAAGAAGAATAAAAAAAGAAGAATAAAGTTGAAACAGTACTTGATCTGGCATTCATTTATTAGCTGGTTTCTCTGTGAAAATTTCAAAACAGTCAATAATCACTGTGACTCTATGTCCAAAGGCATCCACAAACTGATGAGGCATAATTTTGTGCAAGGTGTCTCTATCTGGCCACACAATTGCACGCTTTAGATTTGCATATAAAAATGACAGCATTTCATTTGTTCTGTACACTGTCTTTGGTGAAACACGGAAGAGATAAGCAAGGTGTTTTGAGGGCAGATCCAATCTCAGACGCATGAAGGTTAACAGAAGCATTTGAAATGGACTGAGAATTTTATTTTGAGCAGACATGAGAGGCAGCAGAAAATTAAACAAAGCTATAAAGGTCACCAAGTTTGGTAGACCCGTATAGTACTGGACTTTTTCATTACTGTCTCCAAAGAAGCAATCAGAGATCTGCAGCTCATCAAGTTCACGCCGCAGCTCTCTGTTTTCTTCCAAAAGACGGTTCATCTCTGCACACCTGAGCACACACAGGTTACATTCTGTCTGTCCTTCCTGACGACCACCTTCTGTGTCATCCTTGGTGTTTGGCCGGCCAACGTTTTCAGCAGCCTTCTGCGTGTCAGTCTGTTGCTGGTTAGGGTTCTCTGTCGCCTCATGTGTAACTTCATCCTGTCGCTGAAGGGTTTCATCAGACTGATGGAGCCCCGTTTCAGTTGCTTGCAGGGCATTCTTTTTCAGCTGTTCCCGATAACCACGTCTTAAAGAGCGGTCTGTGTCTGTTGGTCTGATGTCAGTGTGGCCCAGATGCAGGGATGGAGCCCAGTCTGGGTCAGTTTCCATCATCTCATATGCGGGTTGACCTGCAAAGTAGATGAAAGGTTGAGTGTTTTACACATCTATTCAAAACACCATATAAAGCACCTTAATAACAGAGCCCATTAGATTAGATGAGTTATAAAATAAGATATGCTTATGTTTCCCACAGTGGGGAAATTTGCTATACCGAAACAGCACAAGTACATCGGACTAGTAAGGCCAGAGGTAAATAAATAAACTGAAAAGCTTACAGGACGAACAAAGGATTATAATAAATAAACTTAAGTAGATTACACAGGATGAATAAATGCAGTGAGTTGGCTGACGAGTGGGTATGTACAGTGTTTTTATATGTACACTGTATTTATATATATTTATTCATAAAAAAAATATATTTGTATTGCAGATTGTGTAAATGATTATATACAGATAATGCATTATTTATTAAATTTTAGCGGTCTAAAAAAGAAATAAAACAAACATTACTTTCCGCTTCTCTTCCACAGCATGTTTCAGTAGGTTTACATGAACTCCTGCAACTTTATAAGCAAACCATTTCAGCGTGTTGATTTCTATTAGTGTATATTTATAAGGACTTACCTTTGTGAAAATGCCGAGAGCAAACACGAACATGAGGAGATATTTTATGAAACGTGATGTCTTTCCTTCTTACAGCAGCGACCCACGGAGCCCGACGCCTCTTTGTTAAGTCCTCTGTCTGCGGTCCGTATTTTTTTTCCAAGTGGGGAATACGAAAAACCGTCAGGCCCCATCTGCTGTTTTCTGTTTAGAATTACTATTGCATCCTTTGACGCAGCACCAGTGTCCCATTATTTCCAAAGAAGCAACTAGAACACGTCTGCTCTCTGTTAGTTTTCTTTTGTTTGTTGCTGCTGTCTCTTCACCACAGAAATGGCGCTAACTACCCTAAATGAATTGCGCTTTTGCGGAAGTGACGTACACTGTCACAGACCGATAGCCAAAACTCCACTGCTTAGCAAAAAGGTACTGAGGTTCATTGGAGCTTCACTACAGAACATTTGGATAACCAAATAGAAAGTCCAGAACTTAGCTGCATGAATGTAATTAAACACACTATGTTCAGGGAAGACTGACTGTGGACATCGCTCCGAAAAACACAAGTCCAGCAGTAAACTCTGGAGGTGTTAAGGCTCAGAACAGAAAACCCAGTGTTCAAAGCAGACAGACAGATTTCTCAAAAATTAAGTAAACAGATCTGCAGTGAACAGTGAGGGACGCCGTCGAGAGTCCCAGACATTTAAGTCCTGCCAGCTAGAGAACAGCCAGGAGATCAGAACCAAGCAGACGAAGGAAGGCAGGATAATCCAGAGTGTGAAGCCGGTGTCAATGATGTGTTCAGGAGTCAGAGGCAAGAGATTAGAGATCGAAAGAGGCACTAAAGGGAAATCCAGGACAGTATAAGGAATCAGCTTCGTGTTTGGTTAACAGGCAAAATCCAGCAGAAGTCCGAGGACAGGTCAGGCAAATAGATCAGAACGGGAATATGCAGGCTCAGTGGTCCAAGGCAAAACGGGTCAGGATCAGGTAATAAGAAACACTTAGATACTCTTAAACTCTCATCAAGGGCTAAAATAATCTTGTACTGATGACTGGTAGAAGGCAGGTTAAATAGAGGCAAGAGAGGGTGGATCAGATGACCAGTAATGATAACTGAGCTGAGCTAGGCAAGTAAAGGAAATGAGTAATCAGGCCAGTCATCAGTGCCAAAATCATTTCAGGAGGTGTAAAGTCTAATTCATATTTTCTGTGGAATTCTGTTTTATTACACACCATAAGGAACAAATTAATCTTAATGTATTGTGTATATGTAGATTACCTGAGTTGATCAACATCTACTTTAGCCTTAAAATTCTCCTTAATACACTCATATTTGATAAATATATATATTAATTGGCAATAGTTGCAAAATACTTTTGAAGGGAATGATACTAGTTATCAGTTTCAGATGCAGCTGAACAAAAGGTTAAAAACTACCCTGATTAAAGAGGAGTGAATATAAATTGTTGCAATTAATCTTCTATTGAAAAGGTTACGTTTTATGTGCTTGAATGCAACCTTTGGAATTTTAGAGAAAAGGATTGCTTTTCTTTGAGAAAATAAAATAATTTAACCCTTAACTGAATCTTTGCAGACATCTGAATGATTAGGCCACTGTAAGAGTGTTTGAAGGAGCTGACAACCTTCAAAAGAGGGCATAAGAAGAAGCCAAAAGATGCCAGCCTTTTCCCATACATTTCAGGAGGCTGTCCCTAAATTGTTGAGCACATAAGAGGATCCCTGTGTGCGACCCTCTCAGCATTCAAGGCCAGAGTGTGAGGGGATTGGGCTATTGTGAGCCTCTCTGTGTGTTGTCTAGAGAGGGGGGGAGCAAGAAAGAAGAGAAAAGAGAGCAGCAGTAGCCTTCAACTCGAGTTATTTGCTGATGCTTGAATTCAGAGGTGCACTTTAAACTTATGAAAACATTTCTATCCACAGCTGCCTCCCAGCTCTCCAGAGCTTCTCTTATCTCTTCCACCCTCCTGTCTTTTTCTCCACACACCCACCCTGCCGACTGTCGACCTAACCTGCTTACTTTGGAAATCAACAGTGCAAGAAGAGGCTACAGAGCATTCATCAAGTGGCCGAACAGTGAAAGGTAGCCAGAGCTGTCATGGCTGTGTCCCAGGACAGGAGTGCGTGTCTGAGGCTGGTGGTGCTTCTTTTGCTTGGTGTCGGCATGGAGGAAGTTGTGGAGGGATGTAGCTGCAACCCAGCACACCCACAGCAGCTCTTCTGCAGTGCTGAGATCGGTGAGTTAATAAAATAACAATTGGTAAGCCTCCCTGCAGTGATGTAGAGAAATGCTTCAAAATGAAAGGAGCACCTTTCTTTTGTCTTAAACTGCTTTTAGTATTTATCAAATTGGATTTATTTGTAGAGGTGGTCGAGGCCAAATCCATTATTTAAAACCTATCCAGCAATAAATAATAGCTTATCTTAACCATTTAAACAGCGCATGTTAAATTTACACTCAGCTGAATGACATTACATGCCTTTACTGATTGCTTTAAATAAAACATAACAACAGATAACTCTTTGTTATTGTGCGAAACAGATTCATGCCACCATTCTGTGGCATAAATGTGACAATTTATGCATTTTATATCTTTCAATCTTATAGCAACAACAATTTTACTCCATGGATAAACAAAGCCAACTATCTGTCTTTCTCTCTTTCCAGTTTCACCCCTACTATTTTTTCCTTCTCTAAGCTTTGGCCAAAACTAACACTCTGCTTTGAATTTGAGTACTTGGCTCCGGAGAGTGGAAGGCTTGAGTATGTGCTGCTGTCAAAGGTTAAACTCCAACAGGGGAAGAAGATAAAAAAGAAAGAAAAATCTATCTCAGTCTTGATTTCTTAATTACTTCCAATGCCCATCAGTTTTAGAGGGGGAGATTATTTGAAAGAAATGTGAAAAGGATCCTGACCTAAATTAAATCTGGGTTATGGATGTGATGGGAGCTTTTAAGATAATTTTTTGTGACAATATATTGCACATCAGTTTTGCCATTAATGACTTAGAGGAAGGTCCACCAAGTACATTTATTCTAAATTCGAAATGATGCTGTTGTCAGGCAGACTTTGAAAAAACTGACATAAATAAATCTAAAGCAGCAGAACAGAATCGGAATTCTACAGAAAGCCAGGAACTTCATGTCAGCTTTTATGATCAAGGATGCATTTGTCTGTAAGCAACTACAAAACAGTTCATCAGAAAATTTTTAAAAATACTTTGACATAAGAAAAATGAATCAAAAGATAAACAATGTTTTGAAGCAAGCAATCAAACTGGCTTGCTTCAATAAAAAAAATCCTTCAAACCAAGTGTGGTAACGTCTATTCTATCACAGTAAACAATCAAGGCACTTATTGCATATTTCAACTCTATAATTACACTAGAAAAACATTCACTTTTGTTGAATTTTATACATAGTGAGTATTCATCAGTCCAGAAAGCCAACTTAAAGGTAGCTCTCTGACTGTGTGGCACACAAAGTAGACAAAGTAGATAAAAAGAAAACAAAGTACAGCTTTGAAAAAGTATAACCAAAATGCTGTCTACATTTGTAAAACTGTTTTAGGTGCTAATATTTAATCTCCTTTTACCTCTTTTTACATAGATAAATGTTTTCTTTAGGGACTCAATATTTTTCATATTTTTTAATTGACTATCAGTTTTATTATTCTTCCTACACTTGCTAAGCCTGTAGTTTTTTAATAAAACCGGTGACAGCAAACCAGGACTGATGTACCAAAACATATTGTGACACTATGAATTTCACTTCCTTTATCCTACTTTGTGTGAAAGCAGCTTAAATTTACATGTTGAGAAATAAGAAAAGTTAATAGCTAATAGACAGATTATTAATCTACTTTTACTTTATTTTATATATAAATAATTTATATAAAATTGGTTATTTAACTCAGAGCACTTTGAAGACCTTCAACTTCTCAATTTACAGGGATTTTTCTAGTTGCATTTCTAAAATAAATAAATACAGTATACATTGCATCATAAAAAAATGACTGTTATTTCACAGGAAACACGCTAAATATTAGATTTTTAAAGCAAATAACATCCCAGTTTGCATTTTGTCAGATCCTTTGAAAGTGCTACTCAAACACAAAGCTCTTCTGGTGTGCAGAAAGACTTCAAAACCAATATTCTACAAACATGCATGGATGAGAGAATGAGGAATAGTGGATACATAGCTTTTGCAAAGATGTTGATCGGATGTTATTCTTCACATGAGACAGTGACAGAAGATAGAGAGTGTACAGTATTTATCATAACTTCTGGTCTAAGTGGTTGCCTTAGTAAAGCCAGTGTTTGGAAGATACTAAAAACAAATGTTATAGTTACTACACTGTAGATAGCCTGCCAAAAGGTAACTGAGATAGTAACTCAGTTACTGAATTACTAACCAGTTACTTCACATCAAGGTAACTAGTTACCACTCATAATAGCTATGCTTGAAGTATTTGGATAGCTTTCCTTCAATCAAAACTTTAAATATCACTGGAAGTGCGATTATGAAATATAAGAAGTTTAATATTAATTGATCAATCAAATAATGATATGAAATAATATGAAAACACTGTATTATAATGTGTGTGTGATGGAACAAGTGACTTTCACTGTAATGATGTAGATGTGTTTATGTTTTTTATTTATAACAAAGAAACAATAAAGCAAATTAGATGTTTTAGAACTTTACTATATTCTCCCCATTCTTCAACTGGCTTTAAAATAAGTTGAAAGGTGAAAAATAATGCTTTTTGAGCAATTTACTTAACTTGGAGTTAAATGGGGTTTACACTTTTTTTTAGAAGAAAAGCGAATAACACAGAAAATAGAGGGCAACATGCGCGCAGCAAACTGTCAGTTAGAGTAAAGAAGATTTAAGAAGCTGCTTTAGTTTACAGAAAAAAAATCACAGAAACATTTAGCCTTTAACTTCAGTGAGCACTTTCCTTGAGAAACACTCTCACTGAATCAGATACCATTGTCTTTCCTCTCATTCTATGGTCAAGGTAAACTAGACCCCTGTCCACATTGCAGCTCCTCAGCCAATCCGCGCCATGTACTGTATTTCTTGAACACTGCTACCTTGCTCCGCCCTGCAGTAAAAAATCTCTCCCTGCAGCAGAAAAATTGCTAATGAAAAGTCGTTTTGATTTTTTTTTTTTTTTTTTACGCCATTTCATCCAACACTGATTACAGCAATGGATAATCAACAACAAAAACAAAAAAACTTAGTCTCAGATTTTTGTAACATCCCTGCACATCAGCATTTGTTTATTTTGTATTTTTGCAGAGTTCCAGTTGATTTGGAAAGTATACTTTTGTCTCTCCCTGCTAAGGTCCTGTGCAAAGTCAACACAACAAATAACTTCTTGGGATAACACCTTTTTTTTTAGGTCAGGGTCTTAAAAAGATAAACTTTCTTATTGATGCCTTTTTTTTTAAAGCCAATTAAAACTCAACTTTTTAATCTATCATAGGAAGTTGAACTCATATAAAAATGTCTCTTTTAAAAGACAGCAGACCAATTAGTTAAAAAGGAAAACCTTTATGTTATCTCAAGGAAGTATTTTCTCATTGCTGTCTAAGATGAGAAGTCAATGACTTCTTTACAAGGAAACACATTTGAATTGACATGAAAAAGTCAAACTAAAATATAAAATCTTGTATAAACTTAGCAATAGCAATCAACAAAGATATTTCACTTAGCTCGGAACTAATGGAAAATAGGCCCCAAAAAACTCGATAAGCTTGGGTTTGTTTTGGTGTTAAATGTCTTAATCCCTTTCTAATTAAACGATATCTTTTTATATTGGAAATAGCTGTATGTATCCATAGAGTATTTTGAGGGAAACATCTTATTTCCTCCTGTCTGTGTTCACATCATCCTGGCTGTTTTCTAAGCTTAGGTCAGTGGTGGCCTTAAGTTGACCTGACAGTGCTGTCAGAGTCTACAAGCTTACTGAATGAAGTTGTACATCAGAGTAATATCTCAATGTGTGCAGAAACCCTGGATGATTCTCTGGTCAATGTTTGTCTGTTTAACTGTGTGTGTATTTGCTGGACGGAGGCCAGTCTATGCCAACGCAGCCACTCCATCTCTCTCTTTCTTACCCTCTCACTCCCCTCCTCATTTCCATGTCTATAGGCTCCGTCTGATGGTCTGCATACTAACAATATCGGTGTGAAAGCCTGCTGACAGTCCAGCTTTGTGAGCATGACAAGGATGCCGATTCATCTGGGAGGGGGAAGTTACTTACTACATCAGTTCTCATGGTAGAAGTTTGCAATATTTCTCTTTGGTGATGAGGCTCTGCAGCACTCAGATTCTGCAGGTGTGCTGGCTTTTCTAAGTGCACGGAACAGCTGCAGCAACTGAAATGAATAACTTAGGCATGTGGAATATACTTTTGTTGAAGGAAATACTTTCAGAAAATCTTTTCGAGAAATATTCTTTTTTAGCCAGAGAGAATATTTAAAACTGTTGCTGTCCATTTAGAGCAAGTTATTAAAGAAAATGACATCTTAAAAACATTAATACATAAAAATGATCACACTAAGGTGGAATTGGTTATATCTTGTGAAGGGGAACATGAAAATCATCTTAAAACAAATATGCATCAACTGTATAAAAATTTATTTTTCGAACTTTAGAAGGGTACGTTTAAGGCTAGCCTGTAAATTTGCTTGAAGGAAGCACATCAAACACACTACTCTCTTGTGTGATATTGTGAAAGATTAATTTAGGAAAGATCTAATATCTAAAATGTGGGTCATCAATACTATGTCTAGCTGATCTTATGGTACCACCTCCAGATGCCTTAAGGTGCCTGATTAATCTGGTTAAAAATTATTTTGTATTTAAGTATTAAAAGCACAAGACAAGTACAAGTCATCATAAAAAAATTGGCAAGGTAGCAACTTCTGTGTTGCAGAGATGAATGTGTTTTGATGTGATCAATCCACACACAGAAGCAACATACCTTGTTAAGATGCTGGCTGATGGTTGTTTATGTATATGCATTTAGCATAAAGTTGCATTTAGTTATGTGATATTACAGCTATTATACTGGCAAAAGAAATCAGAGAGGAAAAACAAATACACCAAAAATAGACAGAAAAATGTTAAAATGTTAATGACATTTTTGGAAAAAAGGAAGATTTTAAGCTTTTAAACACCATCCTGATGTTAAGAGTAGAGGCTGTGTAGATGCTTTGCTGTAGGAGGGATTACTGCACTTCATGAAATCATGAGGAAATAAATCCATGTTGAAATATTGATATAACATTTGAAGGGATTAGGGTAAATCTTAAAGCTCTAGAAGGAAATAGATCATCCAAACTTCTGATCATTGACTCTGATCATACCACCAGATTTAAGACACAACTGGCATTTACACAATCTAATTCCCATTAAAACTGTGGGCAGCACTGCAAAGATGCATTATGGCCAGGTGGAGAAAAAAAGAAAAAATGTTGTTAAAGCTCTTCTGTTAAAATGAATGAGCCAAACCTCAAGGAAAATATGTAATTGAATATGAGGAATTTCATGACCAAAGTCATCTAAATGTGTCCTTTACACCTGTTTATGCAAGTGTTTCATTGTAGCCATAGGTATGGTATGGTATAAATAGAAATAGTATTTAAAGTCTGTTTCTTTTGAAATTTTAGCCACTTATTTACTCACGGCTGATAAAACTATTTTAATTAATTATGCAAATGTGGCACAACTTCAAAACATTGCTGGCAATGGAACCTGTTGGTACTACAGCCACTAAAAATCATATGCTGGCAACAACATAGGCTCAGTTTACACAGAGATTACATAATATCTGGATTCAATGTGCTTACAAAGCATCTTTTTTTATCTACATCTATTTTTTTTAATATTTTAATGAACAAAAACATTTTATAGTAAATAAAAAAATGCACTTTTGTTTTATTACTTCTCGAACTGTCAAGGTTTGGTGGAAGTTTTTGAGGACCCAAATGTAGAGATGAGTTTGCAGATTTAATGGAATTAGTGGCAACAGAAATATGAATATAGACTGAATGGGCAGGGGACTTAGGAACTAAAACAAGGAGTCTCTGGGGAGGAACATACATAGGAATGAAGAGAATCTAGTAATGAGGAACTGCAGAGGTGGGGATCAGAACAAAGAATGGGCTAATGGGCTGATATGGAGCAGGTGTGGATAGAAGTAACTAGAAGGGAGCCAAGGGGAAAGGAAACTGGCTCCATGGGGCAACAGAGAGTAACACAAAAACATTGCCAGAAATCAACTACAAAAACACAAAATTATACGGAAACTAAAAATAAACCTGAAAAAAATTGAAGGACCCAAACAAAAATCATAAAAATCATAATAAGGCAATATGTATGATCAAGCACCAGTAGGCTTATCATAAACAATTAATAATTTACTTAACACAGTCATATTCCATAACATGAAATGAAATATTGTGTGTAGACAATTTTATGGGTCAGTCTAGGGTCGATCAAAGGTTAAAAATAGCTCTGTTTTTTCTTAAACATTTGGTTTATTGAAAAATGTTATTAAATTTGTAAAAATGCATTGTTTGTCTAAATATGTCACTGCAGCAAATCTAAACTGGATGTTTTTATGACTCTGCTCCAAAAGAATGAATAAAATACTAAAAAGTTAAAGAAAACAGATTAGTTATTTGATATTTTCTGCAAAGAGAACATGTCTGAAGCAGCTGTATCTGAATGGGCAATGTTATACTCAGATTACACCTTTAGGCGTTTGTTTGCTATTCTATCCACTTGGTGTTCAGCAAATAAACAAGAAGACTGCTTGGCCTGAGCTAATTTTACAAAACGGCCTGAGCTCCTCCTCCTCTTACCAACACAAAAAAACCGTGGCGTAGTTATGTGTTGACCCAAAAGGAAAACCAAGTGGGTGGTTTGCTAAGCCGTGTTTGTGAGGTTCACTCCGCTTCTCCCACTCGCTATGCTTTCATGGTGTTACTCGACCCACTTCTGGCTCTTCTCTCCCTTTTACCAGTTTGAGACAGGGTCACCTACAGCTGTAGTCTTTTCCTTTTAACAAAGCAAGATTTATACTTTTTTTCTGGGAACTGCAAGATTACTTAAATATGTTTAACTACAGAATATAATTTCGCATTTGTTTTCAGTTTTTTTTTTGCATTAAAGTTATTCTTTTTAAAAATGACTTCACCTTTTTTAAATGTAATCTTGCTGCTAGTTTCTTTCACTACAATAATCAAACTAAGCAAACCAAATGGAAACAATCTAGCATTAATTACACGCTTCTAAAATAAAAAAATGGACATACACGAATATAGTCAAAAATCCTAGCAAATGAGAATAAAACGAATAAATGACAAAAAGACTAACTTTATGGGTTTATTTTTAACAGCATAGGTTCAAGATGTATTTAAATGCTGAAAGATATTACAAGTAGGGATGTCCTGATTAAATTTTCTTCATTTCCTATACGATATCTATGTTGCAGCTTTGAATATTGACCAATACTGATAACCGACATACTTTTATTACTGATTTTGTTGTGTAGAATGTCAGAAAAGGCTTGATCAAGTAATATAACAACAGAGAACAATAGTCAGCAAAAAGAGGTGACTACCTGACCCTTTTGTTTTTTTAATCAAGCCTTTGTTTTAAATCAAGCCTTACATAAACTACACAGATGTTCAAAGAAACTAATTGCTCTCCTACATCCACCTACGCCACAGCAAATCAGCTTTAAACAACACCTCAACGAAAGCCAATCGGCATCCAAATTTAATCTTGAAAGGCCTTTGATCCGCAACTCGTCTGCTACCTAGTGCGCAGGCAGTGGTTGCGCTGTGTGACTTCATTCAGATGTCTCCGTTTCCACCCACCCCCAGCCCATCCTCCACCGTCGTAGCTAAAGCTTCATCAGAATGTCCTTCCTCCCGGACACTTACTGCATTCCGCGTCTCATTTCAACTGGTCCGGCAGAAGACCGCCTAGTTGAACCTGGTTCTGCCAGAGGTTTCTTCCTAATGGGGTGTTTTTCCTCTCCATTGTCACTTTATGCCTGCTCATCATGGACAGGTTCTCTCAACCTGTGTTATCCAAACTGGACTTCTATCTTCCAGGTCCCTGAGTGAAGCTCTAGTGTCAGCTCACGCAGTTCACTGGATCTCCCCATAAAGCTCAGCATACTGTCTCGTTAACCAGCAGTCTACAGACTGACCAACTTTATCTATCTCCACCCCAACACTAGTTTCAGGCCTGGATGGGAAACATCCCTGTCCTTTACTCCTGTTCATGCATATCTATCAAAATTCACTGCTATGTTTCCTGCCGAGGTCTGAGCGCCAGACACCAAGAAATTGTATCAATAAATTTCTTCTTATTGTCTTTTCTCTTCATGGGAGTTTTTGAGATTGAAATAGATGTCAGATCAAGACTTCCCCAAATGTTTGTTATACAGCGACAGATAGAGAGCATGATGTGTATATTTACATTTCATGTTTGGTTTAGAAACAGCTCCTTTTCCTGAAAAACTAAAACATTGCTCTGGTGAGCCTTGATAATGTCAGTACTGTGACAAGACTCATCTAGCTTGAATTAGAGGAGGATTTCGATGGCATGAGTGTGTGGTATGAGAAAAGTTCATTTTTATTAATAAAACCATGAATGTTAGATTTACTTTACTGATTGTAGACTAAATCATGAAGTCTAGTATGCCCTTATATTAGACATAGTGTATTAGTGTGTCTCGAGTTTGCGAGGATACAACGAGCAGAGAGCTACTTGTTATTCCATGAGAGTTTTAAATTTCCTCCCAGAGGACAAGAGTGACACATCCTGTATCACTACTGAGAGGCTGCGACACCGTCAGTGTTGGGAGGAAGAGGAGTGACAAACAAAATGGGAGCAAAGGAGGAGGGACACAGATCTGCTTTGAATCAGTCCACTTATATCAGTAAATAAAGGATATTTTTCATGTAAATGATATCCTGGTTTTCGCATTAATTTTTTTATTCTAATACATTTTAACCCTTCCTCCTGTCAGCCTTTCTTTTCTTTGTTTTTTTCCTAACAGTGATAAGGGCAAAGATCTCCGGAGAGAAGATTGTGTCGCCTAGCAACAGCTCCTCACCTTACATGAAGATGATCCAGTATGAAATCAAAATGATCAAGGTTAGCTCTGTGGACAACACCGTCACCTGTTGATGATGGAGATTCAAATCCCTTTGCTGTCAATGCTACCGCTCTGTATGTATATGTCAGCAGGGACAAGGATTTGTTTGTCTAAAAGTAAATAAAATGAGTGATGCCACTGGCATTTTAAATGTCTTGTAACGAAACATCCTTTAATATACAACTTTCTTATCCCTTTCTTTAAGCTAGAGAAAAAGGGATTGTGGAGAAATATTTTCAAATCTATCTACTTCTATTGAAATAACTTTCCATCTTGCAGTGACCAGAATTTATACCCAAAGTTTTAATCCTTAAAATTAAAAATAGCCTGGAGTTAAAACTGCCCATTCACTATCCCATCCACAGAGAATCTTTCAGGTTATTTAAAGCAAAACACCTTTCTTCTTCTGTTTTTTTGCTCTATTTACATTGCAGTGTCCATATAAACTGTAAAACTCCCTGCATAATTATAATGAAGCAATTTATATGCATGAAACAAGTGGAGCAATATGGCAATTGCCATACTGCTACACTTGTGAAAGTAAAATCTGTTGGGCTCTTTTTGGCACCAAGACATTTATTCTTATTGCCACATTGCCAGACAGGACACTGTAAAAAAGAAAAAAAAAATACAGCAAAACACTTAAAGATTTATATAGGAGATTATATATTAATTGACCTGTTTGCCCCCAATTTTGAAATCCAACGTATATGTATACATGTTCTAATATTGTAGCCCCTTACATCAAAGTATTAGCAATAAAATATGGCCAGCTGAAATGAACTTAGACATATTTGCATTTTTTCATTAACGCTTTAAAGCCTGATCCAAGAATAAAACAAAACAGAAAATTACTTTTTTTGGGTTTGAATTCCTTATTTGCCCTTTTAAGAAAATATGTAAAAAGAAAAAACAGAAATACATTTTTGATATTAATAATTTATTACTATGCGATAAGTCAAGATTATTTTTTTATGTAGTCTTCTACTGGCTGTTATCAGGTATATGTGATTGTGTACAATAGGAGTTTGAGCAAAGTTTTTGCAAAGTTTTTAAATTATGCAAAAGGTGTCAGATGCAAAACATTTCAGAAACCGTATGTATCAAATACGATACATTTGGCATTATAGGGTTAACAATGAAATCATAAGGAAACAACCTTTAAGTTGCTGGACTAATATTATACATCAAATGTGTCACACTTGATGCTTGTCTGCCAGATCCAGTCCACAATTCCAAAAAGGCTTAGCCATTATGTTATAAAGTGTCCTGATTGTGGACCAGTGGACCAGTTCTACACACTCTGCAGGGTGCTAGAGGGTTAATGGGCAGTTGCCCAAATGCTCCACATGATTTTTTGGACCAGGAAAAGGCATTCCACTATGTCCCTTGTGGTGCCCTGGGCGATGCACCAGGAGTCGGGGCCCTTTACTAGGGGCCATCCAGTCTCTGTAAAAGTGGAGAAGGAGTTTGGCCCACATTAAGTCACAACCAAGGGCTGGAAGGGGTCTGGTTTAGGGACCAGCAGATTACGTGGTTCTGCTGACTTTCTCCTGACAAGTCATATATCATACACTTGGGCGGTTCACAGCTGAAAGATAAGCAGAATTAGAATCAGCTCGTCCAAGTCCAAGGCCATGGTTCTTGACCAGAAAAGGGTGACTTGTCCCCTTCAGGTTGGAGGAGATTCCCTGCCTCGACTTGAGGAGTTTAAGTATCTTGGGTGCCTGTTCACAAGTGAGGAGAGTTAGGAGTGGGAGATTGGTAGATGGAAAAGTGCACCTGCTATAATAATGCTGATACTGCACCAGTCTGTCATGGTGAAAAGAACTGAGCGAACAAGCAAAGCTCTTGATTTACCGGTCGGTCTACGTTCCAACCCTCATTGGTCATAAAATCTGGATCATGCAGAAAGAACGAGATCCTGGATACAAGCGAGAGAAGAGCTTCCTCCATAGGGTGGCTGGGCTTTCCCTTAGAACAGGAGGAGGAGCTTGGTCATTCGGGAGAGGCTTGGAGTAGAGCCTCTTCACCTATACATGAAGAGGTGTCAGCTGAGGTGGCTTGGACATCTTTATTCGGATGCCACCTGGACGCCTCTCTCGGGAGGTGTTCCGGGAATGTCCAATTCGGAGGGGACCTTGAGGACGATCCAGGAGGACGATCCAGGACATCTCGGGTGCCCTGGGAAAGCCTCTGACTTCTCCAAGAGGTGCTGGAGGAGCTGTCTGAGGATAGGGAGGTCTGAGAGTCTGTGCCGCCCCCTTTACCCGGTACTGGATGGAGTGGGAGAAGGCGATATTGCCTCTTTTTTTTTTCAATAAATGGCAAAATTACCTTAAATTTTAATTAAAAAAATTATGCATAATAGAAACATGACTTTTAGAGGGATTTTTAACACCAGCAAATGTAGAGAGTTTTTGAAGGATGCATTGTAATGAGTCAGTTTGCAAACAAATGTTGAAAGGTGCAGATTGCACTATTTAAAAATAAATATTGCTGTGGATTTTTTAAATATTTATTTAATAGAGGTAGACCACCTTAACTTTTTCTCTGTTTTCTAGATGTTTAAAGGTTTTGATAGAGCCAAGGACATCCAGTATGTGTACACCCCCGTCTTCTCCTCACTCTGTGGAGTAAAACTCGACTCCAATAATAAAGCAGGGTATCTGCTCTCAGGTACAGTCTGCTTCCGCTTTTTCATTATTAGATGTGCAATACAGCTATGTGGCATAGACACATCAATGTTATTTATTTCAACAGGAAACAGGAAGTAGAGAAAAAAAATATTACAGTTAACGATGCATTGATCAGTTTTTAGTTCTAATATTCTCCCTGACGATTATATGAAATACTGTACACAGCCAATGGTGAAAAGAAACTCAGTATAAAATTACAGGGCCATCCACAGCTATTAGCAACTCAGGAGAGATATGAAAAAAGGTCTCTAAACAATTCTTGCCCTGCATACTTTATTAAGATGCCAGTTTTATCCTTCTGGATTTAGACATCATTAGACTGGTGACTTCACTATTATAGCTATATTATCACTTATCAAAACCAGCACCAAACTCAGCACCATCCCCATCTTATCCGTCTTAAAAAGATAGGGCTTGTGTGCCACATCATATTTATGCCCCAGGAAAACATAAAAAATTTTCAACTAAAAGTTACCAAACTTCCGATCTTTAAAGCATACAAAGTCAGTTTACTTTTAAAAGTCTGAGGAGTTGAATCATTAAAGGCACAAAGTATTTTATTAAAAAGCAAAAATCTTACTGTAGGATTGTTTTCCCATTGAACATAGGGTTTTCTGTTATTTTTAAAGTCGAGATTATGTGTCAGCATTAAAGATGTTAGGTCTGTTTACACGTCTATAACTGGGTTGAGTTTAAGTAAGTGCATTTTTGTGATTTTAAGTGTTGAAGAAAAAAGAGAGGAAATAATTACTAGATTATCTCCTGTTGTGCAGCAAATAATTTGCCTTTCATCTTAATTATTAAAAAAGGCAACAAAGCTACAGCCTAATTACTCAGATTTGACATGAAGGATGTAATTAAAGTTTTTGTTTACTGCTTTAACAGTGTTTTTAGTTTCAGAAGGCTGTTGGATTAATCGCTTGTTATTGGGTTTGTCTGATCAGGAAGCATGTGGAGCGATGGACGGATTTCTATTGGCCAGTGTGACTTAGTGGAATCCTGGGACAACTTATCGCTGTCACAAAAAAAGAACCTTAATTACAGATACCAGATGGGTTGTGAATGCAGGGTGAGTTTAATTAATTTCAATTCACTTCAGAAATATTTTATTAATCCCAAAGTATTTTAAATCTCTGGAGAAATTAACTAATTAGCTAATAGCAACTACTAGTTTATTTGTTTTTACCTATATATAATTATTCATACCTCTTGATATCGATCTGATATTTTACATTGACAACCACAAAATGTTCCTTTTTCAATTTATGTATTATTCGAGCATTAAGAGTTTCTTCATTGTGACACTGAAGGAAAACTCTGCTTTTTTTAAAATATATTTCGCAAATATAAACAAGACCATGCAACACAACAGAGATATGAAAAACATTTTAAGTTGTGAAGAGATGTAACAAAATGAAATTAATAAAGAAAAAAACTAAATCTGAAGCTCTTGCAGTGAATCCAAGGGGCCATGCTTTTTTTTTTTTGCAAGAACAGCAAGAAAGCCACGAAATTCTTTTTCAAGATTTAGTATCAGCCATTTATGAGATCAAAAAAAGGTATAGTGGAGGATGTTCTTTTTCCGGGTGGATCATCAAAATAAGTGGTCCTCCTAGTTGTCAATGATTGTGGTGATATGTTTACATAAGGCTGTCCTATGTACTCATCCCCATTTTCTCTTAACAGTGGTGAGTCTGACATAGTGGAAAAATTGCAAATCTTCTTTTGGAAAAATGCAAACAGCAACTTTTAAACAGAGCGTGCACGAGGAGAAATGTTCTCCTGCATGCTCTTGTAAACGTTTAATAGGCGTTCCCTCTCGGGAGCGGGTATATAGGGTTGTGCATGTGCATTTTTTTCTAACTTGGAGAGTTAGGGTCTTTTAAAAAAAAAATTGCAAAGATCCTCCACTATACCTTTAAGTGGTGTCTTTGTAATCTTTGCTAAAAATGTTTTTGTTTTTTTTGTAAAAGTAGCTTTTTCCCCTACACTTAATTATTCGTACAGTTAAATGATATACAACGCGAGTGACAAAAAAAACAACAATCTCAAGTTCTCTGAATATCATCCTAATAATTTTGCTCTCTTATCAGATCAACACATGCTACACGGTACCATGTGCGTCTACAGGTGAGAACGAGTGCCTGTGGACAGACTGGCTGCTTGATAACAGTCTGAATGGGGAGCAGGCTCGGCAATATGCCTGCATCCGACGATCGGACACGAGCTGTAGCTGGTATCGGGGTGGGCCTCCACCTGAGAAGGACTTCTTGGACATGACTGACCCGTGATCTGTAACCCTGACTCCTGAAATCTCTTAAGAAAATCCCAACCCTGCTTCTGGCATATTTAGCATGCAGAGTAGCAACTAAAATGAGTTAAAAGTTATCACATATTCAGACCTACTGGAGTAAAAGCTGCCTTTAAGCTACTGATTCCAAATTACCGGCAGCGATCCAGCAACAGGAAAATTACTATTTTTGACTCATTTCACAAATTCCACTACATACGTTTTTACTGAGTGAGAACAGGGACAGTACATGTACAGCAAAACGTTACTTTCTGACTGAAGGGTTCCTACATAATTATAAATGAGCTCCTGTTACAAAAGCCCTATAATTATTTGTATGATGTACAATTGATCAAGTAGCAATTAGAGTTCTGAATTTACAGAAATCCAAATGGAAATGTTTAAAAACACTAAAATAATCTTTCTTGCAACATCATTGCAAAGTCTAATCCTGTACAAATAGACTGCGAGCTCATGACAGTGCAATACTAAAAAATGAACAGATGTTGAATATACTGTACTTTGCGAACGTTTTAGGCTCTTAAACTGAAATATAAATTGAATGATATGTCATGAGAGAAAAATTGTAATGCAATTATACAATTCAAATGGATGAAATAAAAGGGACTTTTTCCACAATGATCTTTAAGGGTAAAGCCATTTTAAACACCTTTTTTGTTTGCCCTTTCTTTCTATTTTTTATTATCTGTTTTATAAATCTGAAGCTGACATGCTTAATGATTTTTAGATTTGAATATATATCTACAGTGCCTAAAGCCTTTGCATTTTGCAGTTTATGCAAGGAGAAGCAGCCCAAATTAACCACTTTTTTTCATTGTGATTATTATATATATTATGCATTTCTTTAAAGTGAAACTCCTCATAGTTTTATTTCAAAATCTTGAGCTTGTAAATATAATATTGGAATTCAATTAACATTGTTATGGCTAACTATATGTTTTGTTTTTGCATAGAGGTCCTTATCCTGCTTTTTTTCCTTCGTGCAAATCCGTCCTGTTTTTTTCTGGTGCCAAAAACCCAATCCAGCACCTTGACAAAAGCACTGCCACCTAGAGAAGCCAAGCCTTTGTTCCTTAGGAGAAATGATATATAACAGGACAAGATAACATTTCTTAAATCCTTGAAAAGGATGGCAGACTGCTTGTTTCTTTGTTCTGAAAATTTGCTGAATAAATGAAGGACAGGAGTCTGACTGGACTTGAATTACTTTACATAAATTATACAGATTATAAGGCATTATCCCTTGTTCTTACATATGGTGCTGTGTTTTCACTCTTACTTATTACATCTGTTTTTTGTGTCTTTTAAAAACAATTTAAGATCATGAAGTAAATTCTAATATCAAACTTAGATAGCCTGATGAATATAAAGTGCAGTTTATAAAAGATGATTTACAAGGGGAAAAAATTACCTGAACCTACCAAAACCTTGTGAAAAGTTTATTGCCATGTAAATCTTGTACACACTTTCACCACCTGTAGTGAAAACAACTACCATCCAGCATTTGGAACGACGATAATCCCAATGGAGCAAATTCTGATACTTTTCTTTGCAGAACCATTTTATCTGGCCACATTTGAGGATTTCGGAAGAAGAAATCAGTTTAAAGCAAGCCTAGAGGAATTCAATTGGTTTAAAGTCCAAATTTTGACTAGGCTTATTCAAACTCCTCATGGGCATTCCTATTGTGCTTTGGATCATTGTTCAGCAATATAACCTAGTTGCCCTTACCCTTACTTTGTGCAGGCCAGCTCCTCCTGGGAATATTTCACATGATTCCATGTTTTTTACATATGTGGATAAGAACTCCCAAAACCATAGAAATGTCCTTCTAATTCCCTCTAGACTGATCAATGCCAATGAACAAAGCAGGATCTGATTCTAATTGAGGTTTCAGTATACACACTATCATTTATAAATGGTAAATAGATTATTTATTAATGATTAACAGATAAAAAGTGTTTGATAATTGTTTATAAACTGCATCTAAACCGTATAAAAGGTAAGTAGATGATATTGCCCTGCCATGTTAGTTAAGCCCTAACCCTAACATCAGCAGACTTTAGATCTGACCCAAGCCTTTATTTCTAATTTAACTTTCCCTTTCATGTTGGACCTAGCCACTAATAAATGATCTACTTACCTTTTAGAAATAGTTTGGATGCGCTTCGTAAATGATTATCAAACATTAGAAAACTATCTGTTAATTATTAATAAATTACCTCTTTAGTGTTTATAAATGATGGCTTTCTCAGTAATGTCATACAGGTTTTATTTAATAGGTTTGTTTTATAGAGGCTTGGATGTGGATGGTGAAATTTAAATCTGACCGGTTGAAACAGTTAAACTTATCAAGTAAATTTGGATTTTTAATAATTTTTTTTCTCACATGCGACAGGTGATTTGTTTAAATGCCCTTTACCCCCAATTAATTAATAGGAAAAATGCTTTTTTTACTCACTATATTTTTTTTTATCTGCTAAAGTATGATAATATTTTTATCTGCACTGTTGTACTTGGTAGGACTGGTTAATTTAAAGTTAAATTCAGCACTGTAATATTTACATTTCATGTAACATTTTTATCTTAGATATGAGAAAATAGCTGAAATCTCAACCAATTTAAACACTCAAACATACCTGTTAGTTTAATAATTCAAAGTTACTAATGCATAATCATACTATGTGATTTAAATTTCTGTTTTGTTTTTTTACAGAAAAATGTTTGGGTTTGTATTTAAGTCTCTGTTTCTGTCTACATAAAGTTTTCTATCTTCATGTACCAAAAAAATGTATATAAAATGTCTCAGTGGAACATTGTGTCACTTCGTCTTTGTTCAGAAACACATATCTAACATAATGCCCTGAAAAAAAAATCTAGAAATAAGTGAAGACTTAGACAGATTTATTTGTCTTTTTTTTTTTTTTTTGTAAAACATAAAGAAATTTCATTTAGAACAGCTCTCTGGACAATTTCATTTTTTTTAAAGTGTAGCCTTGAAAAATAGTAATAAAGGTGTATTTAGCTTTAATTTGAGCAGGTAAATAAGATTATTTGCCAATAGAATTAGTTTTTTTACTCTTAAAATAAGATAATTACATTATATGCACTTGAAATAAGAGAATACAGTTGATTTTGCTCATTTCAAATGTAAATTGTCTTGTTCCATTGGCAAAGTGTCCCACTTACCTCCTCAAGTCAAGAAAACGTTCACTCATTTTAATAAAAAAAAATGACTTCTTGAGATTTCAATTTTTTGCAGTGTAGGACCCATTAAGGACAGAGAAATGAAATTATTAATTATTAATTATGATGGAATGAAGGAGTCAATACACATAGCAATTTTTATATGTATATGTATATATAATTCTTATGATTAAAATGTATATAGCAAACATTTAATAAAATGTTTGATATTAATGCAGAGGCCATAAGTGGCTATAAAATAAATATGACACTGAAAAATGAAGCCTTTCAATTGACGGAGCTAAAATAGAATACACCTTGTCGTAATATTAAACAGCGGTTACCACACTCCAGACAGCAGCCACCATGACTATTATCAAAATTCTATGCTTATAAAAGTGGACAAAAAAAAGTATATCATACAAACCATTTCAGTATAACTCAAGAAGTATAGTGCTTGGTATTGCATAACTATAAGGCATTGTTGTCTTTGTCCTGACAAATGAAAATTACAGCAACAATTTGCCTTCAACAAGTATAAAATATATTTGCTTTCAATGTAGGAACACTGTCATTGTCTTTGCTGGGCTATCTGTCTTATGTTGTTGTTGGACTCAGTCTATGTGCTGTGAACAGCCAATCACTTTACAGGTCATTGGTAGTGTAAAAAGTTACTTTGTAGGTAACGGAACAGCATTGCTGAAAAGTAAAATCTAACTTGTTGTACAGTATATCTCAGTATTAATAACTGCTATTTTTCAGTCACATATTCAGTATATGTGACTGAAAAAATAACACCGTTATTATATAAGGAATGCTTACTCTGAAAATAGTTGGATTACAAAACATCCCAGTCTCCATTGTGGTGTGCAAAGAAAAATTACATATTTGGCAAAGGGAAAGTCGTGGCACACATGCACTTTAAATGCACTACGTTCAGTAGAAATTGAAAAGGGAGTGTTAGTATTCATGTGAATATTGTTAACCCCTAGAACCCTACGGACCCACCGGTGGGTCCAGCTGCTACGTGACTTCGTAATTTTAACAAACCCCCAGTATTGATGTAAAAAACACATTTGGCACAGTTTGGTGACATTTTTGGATAAATGTGCCAAAATGGCCCCTCCGCCTAAGAAATTTCTCACTAATACCATTCTAAAAATAAATATGATTCATTTGATTGAGTCCAAATTTGGTATATTTTTACACAACATTTAGATTTAAAAGTCTGTACTACATTTTTGTGCTATAAACAATATTTTGGTAGTGTTTTGCAATGTTTATTTCAAAGAAAATTTTGGCAAGGTTCAAAAAATGCTAAATATTTTGTATTTTGTCCCTAATATTTCAGGCAGGGTCAAAGTTACAATGGTGCTGACACCAGAAAACCATTTATGACATCTTACCTTTACAGACGTACCAAAAGTTTCTCCTTAAATCTAATAGCTGTGAGGCTATAAGTTATTTACTTTTGTGTGTTTTTGTCAGGCAGAAATTTATTTATACTCCCTGAGGGTGTAAGAGGTTAAGGTTCAGATAATATACCACCAACTAGCTGTGGGGCAGGGAAATTAAAATGTTCAGGATTTGTACTTATGTTGTGTGCAAGATTGCTAATAAAATGCAATGCAGATATTTAATAAAGAATAAAAAAACACTTCTGTTTTTCACTGCAATGTTCTGTGCACAAAGCCTCATGCTTGCTAAAAAAAAATAAAATAAAAATCCCAGTAAGACTCTGGCACATTTCTGGCTCAATAAAAAAGGTGTGTTTAGAATAAAATGAGTGGCTCCTCTTTCTTAGCACTAAATCACTCATATACACTATAAAAAACACATTTATATCACTAATGAGTTGAGATGAAAAATTATAGGCCTCGGCTCCAAGATGGCTTCATAAAGCCTCAGGTGAAATTATACTTTTCCTCATTAATGAACTTAATGACACTAACGTAAATGAATTGCTTCAATTAAAAACTAGTAATTGAACCAAATTTATCCAACTTCATTTATCAAGTTTATAAGTTGGGTAAACTTAATTCAACTACTTGTTACCAATTGAAGCAATTAATTTAAGCTGGAGCTTTGTTTTCCTTTTAAGGTCCTCTAAATAACTTTAAAAGTTTGAGGAATCTAGTGAGCTATTTAAATATAAGAACATTGAAGCTATTGCCAAAGATTGTGTTGGTAATAATGTGATATCAGGATTTTAGCAGTAATTCGTACTGCTACATAACATAACATCCAATCTTAACTATGATAGGGGCTTGTTGATGGCAACAGAACATTTATGTTGGCGGTGCTATCAATAAATAGGTGGCAAATATATTTACATTTCCTCTTATTTATAAAATCAAGGGAGTTTTGTTTGGTTTATATTCTAATTTTCCCTTTAAATTTGCTATTAAAAGTATAAATGTATAACCATGCAAGCAAACGTTTTCTGAAAGTGTCCATTTTCAAGTCGTTGGTTGCAACAGTGGTGGATGGAAATGGTGGTGGTTTACTAGTCTTGCTGCAGGCTGACTGATAACACACAACATGGAGTAAACTAGAAAAGCTTACCATGTCTCTGTAGTTGGGGTAGAAGGTTTGATTGATGAGAGGGAACTTATCTGAACCCAACACCTTCTGGTTGTTGATCAGCTGGGAAAACTGAAAGAGAGAGGGAAGCAGTTAAAGGAGAAACTCCTCCATACTAATTTATGTTTTTTTAACGTCTCATTCTGGTAATTGTACCGTAGATTAGAGTAAATGTTTTCCTCACATCTCTGAAACTGGATGAAAAATACTACATTTGAAGTGTGAAGGTCACTTACAGCCCAGGGTTTGTCACACATATTGTAAATGGAGTCCAGAGAGTTGACCGATGGGACACCTGCATACTGAAGACCGATGATCAAGTTCCTAAAATCTTCATTCTGGGCCATGCTAAAGGCGTGTTGACGCACCAAAACAAAGTCAGGCCTGAATGACCTGCAGCAGGAAAACAAAAAGGGTTACAACAATTGAAGCTGTATGTATAAGTTGACAGCAACCTCGTTTTGGATCTGTTTCCCTAATACATGCGACTCCTAATAATTAATAATCTTTATGTTAGTGTAGACGTGCGTAATTACAGTGCTCCAGTTCAGTCTGAAGGTTATTTTGGTATAAAGCCTCTAGCTTAGGATTGAGGCAGGAAAGAATGAAGCTGTGTCGTCCTCCTACACAGTTTGTGTTGTTGGGTAATCTCATCACCAGAAGGTGAAACTAGGCTGTCTGTGAAATGAGTGGCTGACTGCAGCATTAGCAGTTAGAAAATCTGTAGATAAAATTGCAAAGGAAACCTTGATAAATGGTAAATGGCAGATGCTAAAAGGCTCTATAATTTTATGCATTTATGTATAATTCACCTCTAGCTAGTGCAATTGAAAATGAGAAAACATGAGTCACAAGGCGCATATTAAGTGTGAAAATCTCTGCGGCACAAGTTCTGAGCAGCAGGGTAAGGTCAGTCACTGCAATTCAGCTCAGTGGAGGGTTGATTATTGGCAATGACTCCTGTTATTTTTCCCTTTGTCTTTGCGAGGGAGTGAGAAAGTAAGGCTGATTCAGAGAAGAGAAGCAGACAGAGGTGGGAAAAGGTTCTGACATTAAAATAAATGGAGATGGTTGTTGTGATAAAATGCCAGAGAGGAACAACACTACAAACAATGTCAGCAGAACTGGAAATTCAGCAGTAAGAATATAAATCCTAGAATTTAACTCAGCTGAGAAAGAGGGACAGGTTGTATTGTCAGATTGTTGTGACCCTTTTGTGTTGTTGTCCCAATGGAAAACAAATGTTAACTGCTGCCACAGGAAGTCAACTTCTTTTCAAATGTGCATTAAAATTTGAAAGGGGAGTAAGATATGTGGTTTCCCCTGTTAGTAACAGATTTTTTTTGTCATTGCATGATTAGATTTTAGCAAGGTTCTGGAAGCTTAAACAGAAATGCTTGTCATAAATATTTTTATCATAATCACTGCAGATAAAACATGATGTTTTTTCCATGAAGGCTTTGGTATATGATTAATAAATGTGTATACCAGTGTTATATACTTGTATTAGTGGTAAAATAACAGTAAAAATATGGTATATTTTTGTGTATATGTTATAATGTGTGTTAAAAGATATGCCCCTACTGCCACTGACTGTATGAATTATTACTTGAATCGCGTTTGTTAGATAATGAACAATTACATGTATTAAAATTAAATCATTAGGAACAGGAATATTGGAAAACACTCCAGCACAGTAATAAATTGTCTAAATGGGTTTAGAATTTGAAGTATGTGTCATGAGACCGTTACCTTTATAACTTCCTGTTACAGCTATTTGTGTTGCAGAGAGATAAACTTTACAAGATGAGCAACAATTCACTCATTTTATCTTTTTTCTTTCTCTTTAGCAGACTCTATTTTAGTGCCAATTAGTAAAAAAAAATTAGCAAAGACAAGACAAATGAACAAACAAACAGATAGTCCTCATATGCAACAATATATGATGCATTGTATAATCTGACAAAAAAAAACTATACTACTTTACATCTACACTCCTTATAATCGGTATAGGTTTTTATTTATTACTAACATTTATTATGCATCTGAAAATTTTTAA